CCCCACCCCAAAAGCATCTGTCTCACAATTCCCTGTTAGTCTTGGTATCGTTCTTGTGGGATCATAAGCGCAACACATTAACGGTAATTTAAAGTTGCACTGCGCATTGATTATTTATACCCTTACATAAAAAAGAGGGGGAAAGGCAGGTTTTCAGCAGAGCGCACGGGTCTTGATAAACTGTGCATGTTAAATCAAAATCTTCCAGATATGTGGGCTGAATCTCTAGGTGGATATTGCCAGGGTGTGTGTGTGTGTGTGTGTGTGCGCGCACACACACACACACACACACACACAGATTACTGCACCTTGCTAGTGACTGTCTTGATTCAAATACCTCTCTAAATCATGCCGCACATATAAATAATATATAAGGAAAAGAATTGCATCCTTAATATTATTCTTGTGTCTTATTAAACTAATATTTCAAGAAACTTACAGCGTTGGGTGCATTCTCTGCATGTGCATTTGTGTAGCATAAAACAAAAGGCAAGAATCAAAGCGGTAAGAGCAATAAGAATAATAATAAGAAAATAGAGCTCTGTCTGATAAAACCGAAACTGTCCTCATAAAAACAGAAGTATGAATGATTATTCTAATTGCTGAGGGATACCTTTAGAGAGATCGGATAATTAAATGGTACAATGGTTAAGACCTCTGGATAGTTTCTGTCCGTGCCTTAACCCCACCCTACATTAGCAGGAGAAGCAAGAAAGGCATTATTTTCTGCAAAGATTATTTCATTCTATTCCACCACCACCACCCAGATTTCATAACAAGAAGGTTCTCATTCCAGCCCTTGATGTGAAACTCCTCCCTCCTTTCTCACATGTTTCCCATTGGCTCCGGAGCATGGATGGTTTCACTTGGGAATGTGAAACAGACACATTGCTTTTGGGTTGAGGTTATTGGCTTTGAGATAATGCAGTGGCCTTAAGAAAAGAAGCTGTTTTAAGTCAGAACCGTATTTAGACATTAAACGGGCTGGAGATCTTTTTCACTCTGAACGCTGCATTCCATTCTGGGCAGCTTTTTGAGGACCACATGCTAGAGCAGGGCAGGACTAGAGGCAAAAGTAGGCAGAACAATGAATGTAAATTATACCCTTGTTCAGTGGGATAGTTTCTACGCACACTCTCTGACACTCCTCTCTCTGTCCTCCAACCAGGCAAGCGAAATGCATGATCATAGTTCAAGGACGCATCCCAGCCATGCAAAAGCTCTTGGGGTGCAAAGTGCCTCTCCGGCTTCCTCGTACAGAGCATAGTTAAACCATGGAACACTTGATCCCATAGGAGACAGTGATGGCTACCAATCTAGGTGGCTCTAAAGGAGGACTGGACAATTTAATGGAGGAGAACACTATCAATGGCTACTAACTGTGGTGGCTCTGCTCTGCCTCCACTGTCAGAGGCAGTGCTGTTTCTGAATACCAGTTTCTGGAAACCACAGGAAGGGAGAATGCTCTTGCGCTTGGGTCCTGTTTGCAAGCTGCTCATTGGGGCATCTGGTTGGCCACTGTGAGAACAGGATGCTGGACTAGATGGGCCATTGGCCTGATCCAGCAGACTCATCGTATGTTCTTGCGTTGCCATCAATATCCTGGCAACAGAGAGAAGAGAGCAGACATGGAAGAAATTCACAAACCGAAAAATGATCAACTTTGATCCTTGTCCATGATCATGGCCTTGTCTTATTTTTCTGTCTCCAGCTTGCTGTCCGTGAAAGAAATGGTGATGGTTCAAAATAAGGGTTTGCATTCACATGACAGTTTATTCAGTTTCCACGGCATTTCCATAACTGTTAATTTCCACATTATATTTGAGCTTTCATATAAAAGCAATTCCAGAAAATTAATGGAATATAATGCTTATGCATTTAGTGCTCATTTCTGTTTTATTTGATTCGGGGGGGGGGCTGTGTGTCCATTTTTACCCTCTTCTTTTTTGGGAAATAACTAGGAAATACCAGTGAATCCTGAAGAGTCAAATGTGTGGGAAACGGCAAAAGAAAAACAGCTGACTGCCTTGATTCAGAAAGGGAGTTGACTCACTCTCTAGCCAGAAAAGCCCCCAGCATAGTTTAAAACAGAATTCTATGCAGCGTTTGCAAAGTGTGGGGAATATGGGTTAGATATTTAAATGTCCCAGTATTAAGCACTTATGATTGTTCTTCACTGCCTCTACTCCTCTTGGAGTGAATAGACCACAACCTTAAGTAAGTTTAAATGCTTTACTTACAGTAATCAGAGATCTCACTCATGTATCATTCAAGGCCACAGCAGAACACAGGTAAGGTATTATTGGTTACAAAATAGAGACATTAGTCTCAAGCATGTGGTCTCAGTCTGGAGCCCCAGCCTCAGACGTCTGCTTACTCCCTCCCCAAAGTTGATGGGGCATGATGTAGCCAAGCCTTTTCTAGCTGTATACAGCTCTGAGGCCCTTAACCCCTTACTTACTGGAAATTATGAACAGTTATGTTTGAATGCATAAATATCCCACACCCTTAACCTTGGAAATACGGGGGGTGGGGTGGAGAGAGAGGTTGGCAAAATTTGGGGCAGTATACTGCCATGCAGTTCTTTCCTGCTGTTTTCATGAGGGACTGGTGGGGGAACAGAAGCACACATGTGCAGAAAGGTGGAAGAGTAGTGTAGTTGTCCAGTCACATTCATTGTTGTGTCACACCACACCCACTGGTGTTATATGCCAGGTTCCCCCCTCCCCATAAAATTTACACACTATTTGATTATTTGTTTGTTTTAAAAAAACCCTCATAACAGTGTATCAGTCAAAAGGTCACAGTTTCATATTGCAACAGGTGCTGCACGGCAAAAGGAACATTAGAAAATGGGACTGAAGTACTAGCATTATAATCCGGAAAACTAATGCTACATGTGAATGCATGCAATGAGTGACTCTTGTTTATTGTATCTCAAGCCTGAGGTGCTGGATTCTATTTATTTATTTACTTACTTGCTTACTTACTTATTTCTTGTTGCATTTTTCTTTAAGGAACTCAGGGTGGCATACCTGGTTCACCCCTCCTCCTTTAATCCCTACAACAACCCTGTGAGGTAGGATAGGCTAAGAGGCAATGACTGTCCCAAGGTAGCCCAGCGAACTTCAGGGCCAAGTAGAATTTGAACCCTGGTTTTCCAGGTCCTAATCCAACACACTAACCAGTACCCCCACACTGTCTGAGAGTCCTCACTTTCCCTCACATTGGCCTTCCCTGATCTGCAGGTATTAACCACACAGAATGATGGCAGAGAGTTGTCATTTTCTGGGAAATCCTAGAGAGTTTGGGGTCCTTGGGCAATTAGGCAGAACAGTTGGAGGCAGAGATGATCCACATAACACTTGCCTCTGTTGGGTGGTAGCCTTTTGGATTGTGCTTCCAGCTAGGGAACCAGACTGTGGCTGGTCAGCTGTGTCATCTGCAACTGCATCTTCTCACTGAGAAGCTTCTCAATTTTTTTGCAAAAATTGATTGCAAAAAAGCCCTGGGAGGAAGGTCGTAATTACGCCAGTCCAAAACTGCAATAAATGTGATGCATCAAAATTTACTGAGAATTAAAATCTGAAACATCTGCGAGGGCAGCAGATATATGGCTCGTTGGCTTGATCAGAAAGAGATTCCCCTGGCCTATTAAGTCTTGGCTTGAAGACTTGGTGGCCTACCATGGAACACTAGTTTTCAGAATGCAACTCTTGGACATAGTTCTTTCAAGTTCTGTTCTGTCACATTCAAGACTTAAGCGCAGGGCACTTTCAAATGAACCTTTTTGGCAGTGACATGCACTTCTCTTTTCTTTTGGTAGGAGGGGATCATTTTGAAAGTATTCTTCTATTCAGGGAACATGGCCCTCACTCTGAACTGACTTTTCCCTCCGTGATGTTGGCACATAGCAACATTTCATGAGCCCTCCAGTGAGCTGAGTGTGTGTGGTTTATCCAGTAAGTTCACTGCCCTCCCTCACAATTGGTTTAACCTGCTTTGAGTGAAATTGCCACTTGGCTACCATTAATTACATGGTCCCTGATATTCTCAGGCTACCTGTTCACTGAAGCCCTTAAAATTAGGAGGAGGAATTTGGTTGCAACAGATGAGGGGAAACAACTGCAACCAAGAATGAAAAAAGTGCGCATTCACCAATTGTGGGCATTATGCGGGGAGGTATTTCTGCACCTCAAAATTCCTGAATGTGAACATTCCAATGTGGGAACATACAATGCAGCCCTGGTCAGATATATTAAAAATAAGAAGCTCTAAGCCAAAAGGATGACTTGTCTGGGATTGGTACTCTTTATTAAACACATCTTTCTTTTGTGCAGGCAATAGGGGAACGCACACACACGAGATAATGGAAGAGTGTCCCTTTGGAGGTGAAGTCAAACCATTGGAGAGTTACAGCACCTGCTGTGGCTGTAGAGGCCAATACAGAAGAGACTTTTTTTGTTGCAGCTAAAGCAGACGAAGGTATTCAGTTGCGCTGGTGCAGGAGAACTATGGCGTCTCTTCTTTCTGCGCTCCTCCCAGCAGTCATTCCTCCTCTGGTCACTGCTGTGGATACACAACCTGCCTGATTGTCTCCAGGCGCTGCAGTTGTCTGCAAGGGATTACCACATGGCGGGGTTAATGTTGCAAGCCTTCGTGTCACTTTTACAGACATCTTTGTAACACAGAGTTGGTCTGCCAATGGGCCTGGTGCCTGAAGCCAGCTCCCTATAGACCACGTCCTTGGGGATCCTGATTTCTTCCCTGTGGATATGACCAAGCCGGCATGAACATCACTGAGACAGGAGTGAGAACATGCTGGGAATGTGGGCTTGGGAGAGCACATCTTTGTTTGAGACTCTGTGATGCCCAATATCTTCCTGATGCAGCACATATGGAAGGCGCCTCTATCACTCTCATTCAGTAGGACTAACACAGGATACAACCAAGGTTTATAAGAATTAACAATTTTGTGGTGAGAGCATCCTTTGGGAAGGGCTGTAACTTGGTGGCAGAGCATCTGCTTTGCATGCAAGAGGTTCCAGGTTCAATCCCCAGCATCTCCAGGCTGAGCTGGGAGAGATTCCCTACCTGGAGCCCCGAAGAGCCACTGCCAGTCAGTGTAGACAATACTGAGCTAGATGGACCAATGGTCTGATCCAGCATAAGGCAGCTTCCTATGTTCCTATTTCCACAAGGCTAGAACTCAGGGTCGTCCAACACAACAGATGTGTAGCATATTCAAAACACACAAATATAAGAAGCTTCATCACACACTGTGAGTGCCTTGTTCACTTATGGAACTCACTGCCCCAGGGTAGCTCAGCTGGTAGAGCATGAGGCTCTTAATGAGCCCCATGCTGGGTAAAAGATTACTGATTTGCAGGGAGTTGGACTCGATGACCCTCACAGTCTTTTCCAACTCTACAGTTCTATGATTTGTGGTCCCCACAAAGCAGCCAACACAGGGGAATTATGGGAAATTGCTCACTGGCAGCCACAGGGAAAAGCTCTGCTGCCACCATTGAATATAGGCTCTGTCCCTATTCCATTTCTTCCCACAATCCCCACCAATTTCCAAGGCATGCACACACACCATATGGCAGGCAAACCCAGCTATGAAAATGAGGAAGTGCTGACTGTTTCTTGCCTGGCTGGAATCTGTCCTTGATACCATCCTACAAACAGGGCAGCCTGATCTCAAGCCATGGCATATAGCTGAGTTGTAGAGGGCCTATAACTCTATTAATAGAGGGCCAGCTTTCCATGCATAAAGTCTTCATTTTGATGAGAAAGCCCCTCTCTGAAACCTTCAAGCGCCGCTGCCTGTCAGAAAAGAGCAGGGATGGGAAACCTCAGGCCCATAAATGTGGCCACCCTAGGCCTCTCTATCTGGCCCTGAGACACATTCCCCGGCCCTGCTTTGCACCCTCCTTGACTAATTTTGCCTGGCTGGAATATGCCATTGAACCCTCATCATGCTTCCTGCTTGACTAAATGAAGGACAGAGAGAGGCATGTGTAAGTGCCTATTGTACAAAAGTAACATTGACATTTGTGACTTCGCCCACTTTTGCCTCTGGCCCCACCCACCACTGGCATGGGGCTGCAGGAAGGTTGCCCCAAAAGGAATGCAGTTCTCCAACTGGAAAGGGTTTCCTTCCCCCTGGTTTAGTCCGTATGCAAATTCTTACATCTAAGCTTGCAAGCGATCAGCCTGCACAAAGAACGTCAAAGATATTGTCTGAAAATGAGGCTGGATATATGCGCCTTTAGAGAGGTTTAAAGACATAACCCCTTTCCATTACTGGCTTGTCCATTAGCCGATAAATACCTGAAATCACTCCATTAGACACTAATACTCGAACTTGGGTGAATTATTCAAGTGGGATGACCCAACAAACCGGGCAATATGGGAGTATAATTGCCAGCACCTGGCAGTTAAGTTCTGCCAGAGCAAGATAAGGGTGTAAAATGTGCCAGAAAGGTCAATTATTCGATAATCTTAATTCTGTAGGACCCTCTGGCTGTTAGCAAGAGACAGCACCAATTAAAACCCTTTTGTCAATTAGCAAGTGAAAACTTTCAAGATCCTCCACTAAATCTGCTTTTTTCTCTTTTCCTTTTTGGACCCTTCTTAGCAAGGATAGCTTTAAGAGTTTCAGGATGGCTTTGTTATTTATGAGCCTGGATAAACCAGGGCTTTGAAGGATTTATTTCGTTATCATTAAGAATAATTAAAGATCATCTGTATTGCAGTGCTCTTAGGGATTTGGTGGTGGTGAAACCTCTGGCAGTGATTGGCTGAACTTCCCTGATATCATAGAAAGATGGGGCAGGCAGAAGAGGCTCTGACTCCCATTGGTGGAATTTCTCCCATCCTAGAGCAGCAGGGGAGAGCCTCAGGCCTGTGCCAGGTACAGCCCTCTAGACCTCTCTATATGGCCCTTGGGACTCTCCTTGGGCCAATCCCCTTCTCAAGCTACACCCATTCTCCCCAGATGACACCCATTCACTGGCCCTGCTTCACATCTTCCTTGAGTGTTTCTGCCTGTCCACAATGTGCCCCTGAACTGATATAACTTGGATAGAGGATGGTGAGGAATGTGTGAATGGGAGCAGAAACCAGCCTCCTGTACAAATTTACATTTGTTGCTGCACTCATTTTTGCTTCTGGCTGCTCTAGTGGCCCCTAGAAAGTTGCACCCAGAAGGGAATATGGCCCTTGAGTTGGAAAATGTTGCTAACCTCCAGGGGTGCCAACTTGAATAAAATATTGGGAGGGGGGGTGCTCCGCCCCACATAATCCATCATGACATAGCACACACATGTCATTTGAATGGCAATGCCCATCACCTTTGGGGAGGCCAGCCCCCTCAAATATTTTGGGGTGGGGGCAAAGGTACCTCAGCCCCTAGGAGTTGACTCCTATGCTTATCCCTGTCATAGAGAGAAGCAGGCAGGGACTTGACAGCAGTTTAAAGGAAGGTTGGGGGAAAGGATCGTGCTGCTGGCTAATTTTGGCTTTTTAAAAGAAACTCTGGCACCTGAAGACATAGAAAGAGTAGAAGAGTTTGGATTTGATATCCCGCTTTATCACTACCCTGATGAGTCTCAAAGCAGCTAACATTCTCCTTTCCCTTCCTCCCCCACAACAAACACTCTGTGAGGTTCTTCAGAGAAGAATTTGGAGCAAATGATTCAGCAGAGGAAACACAGCCCTGAATAACTAAGGAGATAGTACAAGAATACTTGGCTAGTTTAGATGTATTCAAGTCTCCAGGGCCAGATGAACTGCATCCAAGAGTATTAAAAGAACTGGCAGATGTGATCTCAGAACCACTGGCAGTCATCTTTGAGAATTCCTGGAGAACAGGCGAAGTCCCGGCAGACTGGAGGAGGGCAAATGTTGTCCCTATTTTCAAAAAGGGGAAAAGAGAGGACCCAAATAATTACCGCCCAGTCAGTCTGACATCAATACCAGGGAAGATTCTGGAGCAGATCAATAAGCAAACAGTCTGTGAGCACCTAGAAAGGAATGCTGTGATCACCAATAGTCAGCATGGATTTCTGAAAAATAAGTCATGTCAGACTAACCTGATCTCATTTTTGACAGAATTACAACCCTGGTAGATGAAGGGAACGCAGTGGATGTAGCCTACCTTGATTTCAGCAAGGCATTTGACAAGGTGCCCCATGATATTCTTGTAAAGAAGCTGGTAAAATGCGGTCTTGACTATGCTACCACTCAGTGGATTTATAACTGGCTGACTGACCGAACCCAAAGGGTGCTCATCAATGGTTCCTCTTCATCCTGGAGAAGAGTGACTAGTGGGGTGCTACAGGGTTCTGTCTTGGGCCCGGTCTTATTCAACATCTTTATCAACGACTTGGATGATGGACTCAAGGGCATCCTGATCAAATTTGCAGATGACACCAAACTGGGAGGGTGGCTAACACCCCAGAGGACAGGATCACACTTCAAAACGACCTTGACAGATTAGAGAACTGGGCAAAAACAAACAAGATGAATTTTAACAGGGAGAAATGTAAAGTATTGCACTTGGGCAAAAAAAATGAGAGGCACAAATACAAGATGGGTGACACCTGGCTTGAGAGCAGTACATGTTCAAATATATAAAAGGATGTCACATAGAGGAGGGAGAAAGGTTGTTGCCTGCTGCTCCAGAGAAGCGGACACGGAGCAATGGATCCAAACTACAAGAAAGAAGATTCTACCTAAACATTAGGAAGAACTTCCTGACAGTAAGAGCTGTTCGACAGTGGAATTTGCTGCCAAGGAGTGTGGTGGAGTCTCCTTCTTTGGAGGTCTTTAAGCAGAGGCTTGACAACCATATGTCAGGAGTGCTCTGATGGTGTTTCCTGCTTGGCAGGGGGTTGGACTCGATGGCCCTTGTGGTCTCTTCCAACTCTATGATTCTATGATATGATTCTATGAAGTGTGACTAGCCCAAGGTCACCCAGCAGCTGCATGTGAAGGAGCGGAGACGCAAACCCGGTTCACCAGATTACGAGTCCACCACTCTTAACCACTACACCACACTGGCTGAAGTTAAAGAGGGTTTTTATTTTGCAACCTAACTGGTAAAACGAAAGATGTGTGAGGATACAGAATTATTTCATGAAGCAATGGGATGCAGCCTGAGGAAGTATCATCCACCCTGGGGCAGCCCATAAAAAGCAAGTCTAGAGTAAGAAACTAAGGAGCTGTCTGCTGTTTCCAGGATCTCTTCTCATTGTGAGACTTTTGCGGGTGAGTCGAGTTTGTTGGACCCTGGAAGGACCCAGAAGAAAAATGAATTGGATTAATTTATATATATTAGTGACTTTGCATTGATGTAACATTTTTATTTGTAACTGTGCATTATTGTAATATTTTGTCATTGATTCAGTTTTTTTGTACACCACTTAGAAATATTTTAAAGCTGGTAAGTGGTATGGAAATAAATCCATCCTGAGTAAATATACAGGGGGGCCATGTGTTCTCTGGCTTGGCAAGTGTGGAAAACTAACTTACTGGGCTGGGTTGGACAGGCCTTTTGGTTTGATACAGCAGGGCTCTTCTGATGCCTACAAAATGAATATAGTTGTTTGTCGCCTGGCTTCAGGAGCCTGGTCCACTAGAATGAATGGGGCACTGCCCCACTCACCTCATTCTGCCCACAGCCAACCCTCACACCTGCCTTCCTGCTTTCTTACGATCAGCCCTGGCTATCACCTTCTTCCTACTTAGTCTCAGTGATACCCTTGAAGAACTCAGCAGGGAGAAGGATGGGGGACAAACAAGAACAAGTTGGCTCCCCCTCTTATTGACTCTGGCTTTACCAGTCATTGGCTCTGGCTCTCCTTGCTGTTGGTCTCTGTGTCTTCTGCCCCACCAGTCCCAATGGGCAAGAGCCACCATTTGTTCTGTCCTTCTCTGCTTCCTAATGCTCTCATTAAAAGCTCATGCAACAAGAAAGCCCTTCCTGTTGAATCAAAATGGAATCTGTGATCAGAAGCAGTAATGCTTCTGATTGCCAGCTGCTGGAGACTGCAGGAGAGTAGACTGCTCTTGTGCTCAGGTCCTGCTTGTAGGTTTCCCATAACAAGTATCTGGCTGGCCACTGTGAGAACAGGATGCTGGACTAGATGGGCCACTGGACTCATCCAGCAGGCTCTCCTTATGCTCTTACAATCTCAAACATCACTGGTTCCTATGAATGCTTGGACTACCAAATCTCTTGTTCTCTCACCCCCACCCCCACACGCTATCTGAACCAGCACAGTGTTTGCTGTCTCCAACCATGACAGGACTACAATACTTTATGTAAATACCTTCCAAGTGGAGCTCCTCATTATTAATGCAGACAGTTTCCGAAGGCAGAGGCAAACAGCGTTTGGCAGTGAAGCCTTTTTAATGAGGATGTCATTAAGGAATTCAGCTCGCAAACCGCCGTCCGATTCCCCATGCTCCTCCTCTCCCTCTCCTGTTCACATAACATTTTTTAAGCCTATTTATTTTTACAAACCTAGAAATCTGGACATTATCTTCTGAGTCCCCCACCCTTTTTTTTAATTAACCAATTTATTAGTGGGACACATTCAGCCAGCTGGATCATGAGAACGCTGGCTTTTGACCCTCTTCCCCATTTTCCCCGCCGTTGAATGTGCAATAGGACTCATTATTTATCATCTTCAACCTCCAGGGTTGCTATAAATTCAGCCCTCTCCCTTCCGAAATTCTGGCACACTGGGCAGAGTCAATAGGTGGGATTGGAATGAAAGAGGAGCGTCAGAAGGTTGGCCCTCAAATGAGTGGGCTGGAGGTAGCCTGGAAGCAGAGACACAGAAGGCCACAGTCTACTGCAAACCTTTGTTAGAGCAAATTGCTCAATCAGTGGTCTTCTATCCCCATGAGTTCTGGCATTGGACCAGGACGTGACTCCACCATTTCACTAGCCATTTCACCAAAATCAAGGAAGGACCCACACACTCTCAGAGAAGGCCTCCATTACTTGATCTTCTTGAGCAGTTATGGACTCTAATTCCCATCAGGCCCAGCCCATGGTCAGGGATAATGGGAGCTGTAGTCCAGGAACATCTGGAAGGCCACCAGCTTTCTACCCCTGTTTCGTGAGCATCACTATTCATGCTTCGGTTAGAGATGGGTCCCAGGTCTGAAAAAAGTTGAAGACTACTGTTCTGGAGGACAATGGCCATATGAGAGACCCTATTGATCTAACTCCCCCAGGTGTGGCCTATCTACTGGGCTGCAGCCAAGTCCAGTGGAACAAAATAACTTTTCTGGCTGAGTCAGCAGGGAGAGAGTGGCGTTCTGGATGTGACAAGAAGCCTCCTGCTAACTAGCAAGAAGTATCAGAACCCTAGGAACCAGATTAGAGCTGTGGTGGTTGTGTGTGTGTGCAGCTAGCCCTAAGTGCCTTACTCCCTATGCCATTGTGGCAGGAGACCACCTGCTTTTCCTCTATGCTTCTCCCTCAACTGGTCAGGAGGGGTGTTGCAGTCGTCAGGTGACCTGTGTGACCAATAGTCTTTTACTAAGCCTTACAAAGGTTTGAATTGCCTGGACTGGTTTAGGTTCAGCACTTGTCTGGATGACACCTGGCCTTCTTGTCTTCCTGACTTGGAGAAAGAAATCTGAGACACTGAGTTATAACCAACTAAATTATGTTCAGAGTAGACCTATTGGAATCAATGGACCCAAGTTAGTTTATTAATGTGCATTAATTTCAATGGGTCTGCTGCAAGTATAACTACCACTGGAGACACTCCATTGTATTCTGCCACACACAACCATGCATAGCCCATCCTTTGTGCAAGTCTGGCACAGAATGTTTACAACATGTAAAGGATCCTAATCTTCTTGTTTGTTTATTTATTTACTTTATTACATTTCTATCCCACCTCTCCTCAGAGAGCTTGCCAATTCTGGATTTGAACCCTGGTCTCCTGCATCCTAGTTTGACACTCTAACCACTACACTACATTGGCTCCTACAATACCTCTCATCAGCTCTTGCTTTTTGATCCTCTATTGCTACTCCCCAAAATGTTTCCTCTCCTCTCCTCCATTAGGAAAACTCCCATCCAGCCATTCAAGTTGTTCGTCCCTCTAGCTCATTATGCAGATAGCCCTGAATGCAAAGTTTCTGTAATCAATAATGCAGATGAGCAACAAGAAGCAAAATGTCAAGAAGGAATCCTGTCGCTTTGGCATATGGCCAGCTAGCCAACAGAACAACACCTGAGCAGGTCCATCCATACTCTCCCAGTATTTTCTGTAGAGGCTTTCGGGGATATTGTTGGCAGTGTGCAATGACCCTGCAAGAGTCAGGTGGCAAAGTGAATAATTTTTCAGGACCAGAATCTGCTAACTTGCCAAAATGAAGCAGGCGCAGGTATATACAAGGTCCCTTGGGTAGGAGATCACTTGGTGGCCAGTGTGAGAACAGGGTATGAGTATAATGGATACTTTAGGAGAGGAGTGGGGAGCAGTTTCCAGCCTGAGAGCCACATTCCTTTCAGAGCGGCAAGTACCTGTCATGGCTGGGAGGCAAAAGTGGGTGGAACAACAAATGTAAGGATTACGTTTATACAGTAGGCTAGTTTTGGTCACACACTTGCACACCCCTCTCTATCCTCCATCTAGGAAAGCAAAAGACATTATCAGGGTCCAAGGACATATTCTAGCCAGGCAAAAACACTTAAGGAGGGCCAGTGAGGGGTGCAGCCTATTCAGAGTGGCAGTGCTGTGCACCCTTCCTCTGTTTTGGCTTTGTGATGCCTTTGTGGTCTCTTTATGGCTAGGATTGCTTCAAGAACCTTTCAGAGTATCCTTGTTTTTGTTTTATATAGCAATGGAGATACAAATCAGGGTAAGGGAAGCAGCTGTGAAGAGTCGTTGAATAGCACACACAAAGAAAGTAGGGAGATGGTTAACCTGTCTCCACCACTCTATTGTCACAACTTGAGTATCTATCCAATATTGTCTGTGACTGTCTTTGTTCACTGGAATATAGCTTTCAAATTCTGCCTCGACTTTACACTCTTCCCATTTCCATACCATTTTGTGCGGCTCACCGTTCAACCAGTGCTAGAAAGTTTGCAGGCACCTCGACTGCTTTTGTAAGGTGTCAACAGCTCCACTGTGTGGTGAAAGGACAATATGCATTTCCAAAACAGGCATCTTCTTGGTCTGTTACAGCCTTCCTAAGACTATTACTGTCTAGGTGTTTTGGACCACAACTCCCATCAGCCCCCAGCCAGAGCAGTCATAGTGCAAATCACATGGAGGGTTCCAGATGGAAAACATCTGGTCACTTACCATGGCTTTCTAAACGTGCTTTGGAGAACTTTGGTGGTCCTCAGGAGCTTATTGGGAAATCCTCAATGAGAAAACCAGAAATGGTGGACTCATTTTCCCATGGCCTGCCAGTGTGATATAGTGACTAGAGCGTCAGGCTAGTACCTGGGAGACCAGGGTTCAAATTCCCACTTAGCCATGAAGCTGGGTGACCTTGGGCCAATCACTGCCTCTCAGTCTGACTTATTTCACAGGTTGTTGTAAGGATAAAATGAGAAGAGGAGAACCATGTGTGCCATTTTGAGAGCTGGTGTGGTGAGATTAAGACCCGCAAGACAAGAGTTCAAATCCCCTTTCAGCTGTGAAGCTCTCTAGTGATCTCTGGCTGGCCAGTTACTCTCAGCTTAACCTACCTACAGGGTTGCTGTGAGGGTAAAATGGGGAATGGGACTACGTATGTCACCCTGAGCTATTTGGAGGAAAAGTGGGATAGATATGTGATAGAGGAAAGAAAGAAAGAAAGAAAGAAAGAAAGAAAGAAAGAAAGAAAGAAAGAAAGAGTCTGCCTACTTCCTCTCCTCTCCTCTCTTGCCAAGGAGTCTTAGATGATTTTTATGTTAATTTTTGGAAGCACCTGCACACTATTGAACAAAATATTCTCCTAAGTACACTCCCAGAATCCTCTGTGAAATTTTGTGTGTGCTGAAACCAATCAGTGTTTGTAAAGAATGTAAGAGCTATGCGGAAGGACCATCCCATAGCTCAATGAAAGAACATCTGCCTTGTAAGCAGGAGGTCCCAGGTTCAATCCCCAGCATCTCCAGATGCGGCTGGGAAAGGCTGCCTGTCTGAAATTCTGGAGGGATGCTGCCAGACAGTGTAGACAACACTGAGCTAGATGGACTTAATATAAGGCAGATTCCTATGCTCCTTAGAGCTTTGGGGTTAAACAGACCTCCTCCTCAGAGTAAATGCTCAAAATTAAAAAGGAACATTCGATACATCTGTGCAAAAGCATGGCTTTATGTCCTTTAAAATTTGTTTTAATTGTTTTCAAATAATAAAAATTAAAAGTTCATAATAATAATGATGATAGACCTATTATAAAAGATGAATGCCAAAGATTAAATCAAATTAAATCCTGTGGTTCCTGTATTAAGTAAGTCCATCACATTGTCAGGACGTCCATCGGTGCTCATTCCCGGGGGTCTCAATCGATTCCAAAATGGTACAAATAAAGTCCAATTTCCCCGAAAAGTCTCTAATGAGGTAGTTCTTCCCAGCAGTGCTTACAAATAGTTATCTTGTTCATTAACATGATATTTCTCATTGTTCCCCCTCCATAGTCCCACAGATGCTAAGTGCTCTGCCTTCAGTGATTTTGCTAACAATAGATGTTCAAATTAAAGGGGGAACGATTGATATGTCTGGGCAAAGAAAAAGCTTTAAGTCCTTGGCTATGAAGTCCCAGTGTTGCAACTACAGATTTTCTGCAGATGGCATTAGGCTGGGGGAAGGGTGGGGAAGGCCAGACCCCAGGCTGAGAAGAGCCCCCAGCTCCTTGGTCAGGCCACACCCCCTCACCAGCCCTGCACTGCATCCTCTTTGAGTGCTTTTGCCTTGCTGGAATGTGTCATTGAACCCTGATAATGCCTCTTCCTTGTCTGGATGGAGAATAGAGAAAAGTGTGTGAGCATGGGTAGAAACTAGCCTACTGTAAAGAGCTATTTGCTCCACCCACTTTTGCCTCTGGCCCCACCCAGGAGGATGCCCCCCCCCCATAAGGATGTTCAGAAGGTAATGCAGCCCTCAGGCTAAAAAGGGCTCCCCCACCCTAGACACACACACACACACACACACACACACACACAACCTTTTGAAAGAAACAGCTTGGCAGATGGATGGATGGATGGATGGATTGATGCTGGAAAGAGGCACATTTCTGTATCCAAACCTCTGACTTCTGTGTGGCTGCAATCTAGCCTGCTATTCAAAGGTAAAATTTACATTCACCCCTCAAATCTCTTTTGCCTCTGGCCCCACCCATTGTTGGCATGTGGCCCCTGAATAGTTGCCTGCAAAGGAATGAGGCCCTCGGGCTGAAAACGGTTCCTTATCCCTAGCCTAGGGCTTTGTCATGTGCTACAGCTAAGGTCTCAAGTTACTCAGAGGCATGTTGGGGGAAACCAGCAGTGGACCTGTCCCCTTTAATATTTGCTTGCTTGCTTGCTTGCTTGCTTGCTTGCTTGTTTTGTATGCCACCCTTCATGCGAAGATCACAGGGCTGTTCACAACATAAAAATACAAAATGAGAACACAAGATGCATAATAAAACAAAAACCAAACAAACCAATAGCCCCCACACCCACAAACACATTTAAAAGGCCATGGAATCAGACAAAGGCCTCATTATAGGAAACTGTTTCTGCCTGGTGCCTAAAGCAGAAATGGAGCCACAGCAGAAAAGGCCAACTCTTATGTTGCTGCCCTCCAGACTTTTGCAGAGGAGGCATGCAAAAATGGGCCTCAGATTATGATCGCAAGGTCTGGGTATATTCATATGGAGAGAGGCGGTCCTTGAGGTATTGTGATCCTGAGCCATTTCAGGCTTTATAGGTCAAAACCAGCACTTTGAATTGGGACCAGAAACTAATTGGTAGCCAGTGCAGTTGGGTCAGGATTGGTATTATATGCTCAAACTATTTTACCCTCAGTGAACAACCTGGCCATTGAATTCTGCACTAGCTGAAGTTTCCAAACCATCTTCAAAGGCAGCACCATGTAAATAGCATGTTGCAGTAATCTAACCTAAGGGTTACCAGAGCATAGACAACAGTAGTTAGGCTATCCCAGTCCAGATAGGGGCACAGCTGGGTCACCAGCCGAAGCGGATGGAAAGCGCTCTGCGCCACTGAAGCCACCTGAGCCTCAAGTGGCAGCAAATGATCCAGGAGTACCCCTAAACTATTTACCTGCTCCTTCAGAGGGAGTGTAACCCCATCAAGAACAGGCAACCTCCCATCCATCCAGTCTAGGAAGCCACTCACTAACAGTGCCTCAGTCTTATTTAGATTAAGCTTCAGTTTCTTGGCTTTCGTCCAGTCCATTACCAAGGCAAGACAACAGTCTAGCACATCCACTGCCTCATCTGCAGATGTAAAGGAGAAGTAGAGCTGTGTGTCATCAGCAGATTACTCACAACATACTCTAGCACTAGGAATAACCCCACTCAGTGATTTCATTTAGATGTTAAACAGCCTAGAGGATAAAACTGAACCTTGAGGAACCCCACACTTTGGCTCCACAAGGCCGAAGAACACTCCCCTAGCATCACCCTCTGGAAATAACCATCCAAGTAGGACTGGAAAGGTGCTGAAAGCCTAAATCTCAGCTGGCAGTGGTCTGACCCTGACAAGGGGCTGTGTCAACACCCCCCACTTTCAGATCACCCTCTTCCTGCCTAGTTGAGAAAACAAAGTCCAGAATGTGGCTTGCCACATGTGTTGGATTGGTGACACATTCTGACAGTCCTATGGTCGTCACGGCAGCCATGAAATCCTGAGCCACCCTAGAGCCAATTGCCTCAGCATGGATGTTTAAGTCCTACAAAACCAGCAGTCTGGGAGTCTTCAGCACTGCCTCCAAAACCAGCTGCCACCTCAGGCTAGGAGAGTGCTGGGCAGCGAGGCGGGGGGTAGACCAGCAGAATCCCTGATCTGTCCCAACTGCCCAATGCCAGGAACACACACTCCATAGATGGAATCTATAGACCACAGCAACTGCCTCTCCCTGACCCTCAAGTCTGCCCTGATGCTGCCCCCAGTACCCAGGTGGGCATAGCTGGGTGAGACCAACTCCACCCTGATCACCCACCCAAGTCTCAATGATAAAGGCCGAATCGGCTTCCTCAACTACAATCAGATCGTGGATGAGGGAGTCTTACTCTGGGCCCACCTGACACTCATCAACAGCATCCGCAGACCCGAGGGCTGGCTGATAGGACAGCCGCAATTCCCCAGGTCAGAGGAGGGGCCGCCACACAGCACAGTCGCCAGCTGCCTGTGCTGTGTGCCCCCTACCTGGCCTGCCCCACCTCCCACACCATACCTCGCCTTGCACTGAGCCACTGCGATTAGGCCATTCCACTGTTCTCTGCAGTTCTTCTCTTCACAGGCACATATTCCACCCCTTAATTTAAACAAACAAACAAACAAAACTCCAAATTTAAAAAACCCACAAGTTAAAAAACCAGTTAAAAACAAGTTAAAATATTTGCTCGTTGAGGATGCAAGGATGGACAAAGACTACCTGAAAATGGAGAAAATTCCTTCCCCCCAGTACTGCAAAGAATTAAGTCACTGTGAGAGATTTTGAAGGCACTTACGAAACACAGATACACACAGAGAACCAGAATTGAAGTAAACAGCAGTAGTTTATGTTCAGCATCTATAGCATTAATTTACAGATTTCTTGGAAGGCTGTGGTGTGGCAGGCTGATAAAGGAAGCACGACACCAAAGCTCGCATGCATTCTTTTCTTTTAAAGCCATCAGCTGATCCCTAGAAGGCTTCATTGCACCAGCTCTGTTTTCTCAAGATCTATTTAACATTACTTGAAATGCCCCTCCCCTCCTCAAATAATGCATGTTTGAAAAACTGGTGTGATCTCTCCCCCCCCCCCCGCCACCCCATATCCTCCCTGTTTCCAGAACGTTTTCCTCAATCTGCCAGCGTCAACATGAAGATTCTACCCCAAATTAATCGGGATGCTACATTCCCTCTGCAGAATACATCTGATGAACACCTCTGGAGAACAGCCCACTTTCTATTCAAAGAACACCAAAGAGAAGCACACACGATCACCCAATCTTTATTCCTACCCCCACCCCACCCCACTTTCTCGGCAAAGATAATTGCATATTGTCAGGTATGACGGCACCTGAAAAAAATGTATTAATCTCAGAGGCATTGATACTGAGAAAAGTGTGTGTGTGTGTGTGTCTTTGTTGAAATGGCTTGCTTTTAATAAAAGCACAGTGAAGGGTCGCTTCTTACTGATAGACCAGCTCATGCATGCACATTCCTCACTTCAAGACTGCAGTGCCAGAGACCTTTTCAGACGGCAGTCATGGGAGGCTGATATGAAGTCCTGCCGGGTGCACATTGGATGACACACACCCCCCATCCTGCATTGAAAGCTACCAACTCTGATTGCTTATGGTCTCCCTCCATTATTGAAGGCAGGAATGCCCCCTGAATACCAGCTGCTGGAAACAACAGGAGGGGAGAGTGCTGTGCTGCTCAGGTCCTGCTTGTGGACTTCCCATTGGGGCATCTGGTTGGCCTCTGTGAAACTAGGATGTTTGACTATCCGGGCCTTTGGCCTGACCTAGCAGGGCTCTTCTTATGTTCTCAGGTTTTGCAGCATTCCCAATCATACAGCAGAAGCAGCAGCAGCAGCAACAACTGCCTGATTCACATCTTCTGATAGAGAGAAGTTCCCACATAACAAAACTAAATGCTGTGTGCACATCCCAACAAGCTGGGGAAATCAGAGTTTCACTGGCACCAGACAGGGGTCAACTGAGTGTTCATATAGTCAGGGCTTGGAATGTAGGAAGCTGCTTTGTACTGGGTCGGACCCTCTGGTCCATAGCTCAGTATTGTCTACTCTGATTGGCAGTGGCTCTCTCCCAGCCCTGCTTGGAGATGCCATTGGGACCTTTTGAACCTGGGACCTTTTGCTTACAAGGCACATGCTCTACCACTGAGCTGTGGATGACCCTTCCTCATAGCTCTTGCGCTCTGCCACTGCGACTCTTCTCCTTGCATCCTAACCCTTCCTGATGGATCAGGGGAGGATCTGATTCACCCAAAGAACTTGGAGAAGGGAGGCCTCATGCGCTCAGTCTCCTGACGGAGTCTTCTGCCTGGGTATACTCACTGGGTGACCTTGGGTCAATCATTCACCCTTAGCCTAACCTACCTCACAGGGTTGTTGTGAGGATAAAATGGACAGAGATAGAGAACTATGTATACCACTTTGAACTCCTTGGAAGAAAGGTAGAATATAATGCAACACATAAAAATGAATTAATATTTTTGCTTGTGAATCAGGATGTAAACAGGGGTAGGAAGCCTCTGGCCCATGGGCCCAATTAAGCCTACCAGGCTTCCCTGTTTGGCCCACAAGACCTTTTTGACCCAGCCACCCTCACCTGCCCCATACCTGCCATCATATATGACATCAGGGGTGAGGCAGGTAAAGATGGAGCTGGGCCAAAGTCACTTTGCACTTACAAATTCTTGTGCATGCTGTTTTGTAATCTCCAATGACCTGCATGTGCGAAAGCAGGTCATCTGTTGTCATTGTGACATAAAGTGATAGACAGGTAAATGGACTCATCCACCTGTCAGACTTGGCCTGTGTGGTGTGGGGGAGCTAAGGATCTGACCTGCTGGCTGGGTTTCGTTTCCCCACCTCTTCTGTGCCGTATAGGCACGTGGCAAGATATATTATGTCTGAGGATCTAACAGTGGGGTGTCCTTTACAGCAGCTGTCTTGAACTCCCCAGTAAGGGGCGGGGACCTCCTCTTGCTCCCAAGGTCTACAGATGGCCTCTGCCCCCTCTTCAGAGAAGGTCCCGTCCCATCTGATTCAGGATCTCTGGGAGCTGCCAGGTCCTGACATTTCTTCACCATGAAATATACGTTCCCAAAGGCAGATGAGGATCATCGCCATGCCATTGCAGAAATTACCTGATGGAAATTCTGGTCCAGGGAGATGTGTCAGAGGCCCCACGGCAAATGAGTGCGACCTTCTGAGTACCCCTCCCCTGCTCCGAAGGCTTGATGGGGCTAACATGGAACGGCGCTCCCAGGATCTGCCGTGTCCCCGGCGACACCTCTGAATGACAGCCAACAACCGGCGTCTCTGCACGGCAGGAGGCAGAGCGCGGCTTTTGACAAACACTCACAGGGAAATAATAAAGTGGCAAACTAATTTTGCATCGGACACACTTACCAGAGCATAAAGAGCCTCTGAAAAGGAGACATCTTGTGCCATCTATCTTCCTTAAACACCCAAGCTGTGACAAAGTGGAAAGCAAAATTATGATGAATGATGGGACATATTTCCGTCGGTACCTGGGCGCTTTAACCTGGCGGAATGGGTGCTAATGAAAGACAGAACTTCTGCCGGTGTTGCGGGGGGAGATCTACTTGCAACACACACACACATACACACACACAAGTCTGTATTATAAATTGGTGCTTCGTTTTCATCAAAAGCGCATAATGAAGGAGCATCTCGTGACATAAATTAAAACCGGCAAGTGATGGGTCAGCATTGCGCCATGTTGCGCGAAGACAAATGGCCGCCGATCCCTTGACAGTGGCTGTATCTCATTTACAATATTTTTCTCTCTCCCTGTGTGTGTGAGTGTGCGAGTACATTTCCCGATTGCAAAGGGGAACATGGCGAGGTTTTGTTCGTCAATGGCGTCAGCGTCATTTATTTTACTGCCTCATTTGAATATGATGAATACCAGAGTCCTTTATTTGTTCACAACAACCAAATAATTGTAGATCCACCAGTTTAGCTGCAATTAATCATGAGATGGGTTCTCCCTCTCCTGCCACCCTTCTCCCCCAACAATCCGCTATAAACATGACATTGAACAATAAAAACATTAACCTCTGCTTGCAACAACGGAAATATGTGTGTGTGCATGTGTAAATACACACACACACACACACACAAATATGCACATGCACCTATGTACAGACACATGTGAGCACGCACACACACCAAAGATCTATCTGGCTGTTCAAACCTCTTGCAAGGTTAGTGGTCCATAGTCAATATATTTCCAGATGTGGCAACTCAAATTTATTATGTAATTAGCTGCAACTCTCTTCCTTTTGCACAAGCTTGTGGGGTGGGGGTGGTTAACAATGGCTAAAAATAAAACCACACAGAATGCAATTCCTATTTTTACCTCTGATAAGGAGCTCAATGCTGACGAGCTGCTCAGAGCTCAGCCTAGATGGGTGCAAGAAGGCCACAGCTCAGTTCTGGGGGGCCTGATTTGAATGCAGAAGCTCCCCAGTTTGATTCCTGCCATCTCCAAAGAAAAGGGATTAGATGGCACAGGGCTTTGTGAACTGGTTTCTTTTCCTGCCCCCACCAGTGCTTTGTATTTTGATAATGTGGGTGTTCACTACAAGCCACTTTGGGCACATGGTATATAAACTAAGTCAATTAAATGATCAATAAATCATCCAACCCCCTGCTTTATGTGCCCACTCTAAGACAGGCCTGGAGACTGACAACAAGGGAGAAAGGGTCTTTTTAGTGGTGGCTCCCCTGCCTGTGGAATGCTCTCCCAGGTAAGGCCTGTTTGGTTAACAACATTGGCATCTTCTTATGAATTTGAGAAGTCTCTAAACTTGATAGTGAGTAGAGCCTGCCCTGTGTTGGACAGCTCAGAAGTCGGGACCAATGAATAACTAAGGCTGCAGGAATTCACCAGAACTCAGGTGCTGAGCAAATCTCAACTGGAACCTGAAGCCTTCTGATATACTTTTTCCTGTCCTGTCCAGGAGGATCTAATGGCTAGCCTAGCTTCAGTCTGGGACCTTAAGGTACTTCACTGGGCACTTGCCATGGTCAGCAGTATGAGGTGGGCAAAGAGGTGGGAACAAGGTACCACAGGGACCAACCAGTAGTTCTGGACAAAGAAGGAAACAAGAGTCAAGAAAAGCCAAAAGCCAGGGCTGATGAATGAATCAGAACAGGTGGTCAAACTAGAAGGAGGGATCAATTAGCTAGCCAGATGTCATGACCAAAGAATAATCAAGGATGCAAGAATATCTTACTGCTCAAGTGAAGCTCAAGCTGAACAGGAAGCCAGTGATACTCTACTCTGAGTGGGCGGAGTCCAGGGCCTGGGAAACTGCCACTTGCAGTTCAATGGCTGGTCACATGGGGCAGCTACACATTGACCCAGCAGCTCCTGACCCCCTACCCTATTGTGTGCATATGAAGGAGCTGGGCAGGAATCTTCCTGCCCCAGGAGCAGGAAAAGGAGCAGCTATCTCCTCCTAGCCTGATCTCTTGGTGTCCTAGTTACAATCAATAAGTATTGAAACATACTGTTGTGTCTTCAGGAAAAAAAGCAGTAGGACTACCGTCACTTGCTCTTACTTTGCATTGCCCTCATTTGCCCTCAATGATATCATCATGCAATCCTACCACAAAGTGCTGCTACTCCATTTACTACATGAGTAGGGGTACGGGAGAAATTCGGTTTGGTTCATGTTTCAAGTTTTCCTAAAACAACCTGTGAAATGGAAACACAGCTGTCCTTCAAAATTCACACTTTCAAAACCTGATGTTGTCCAATGACGTTTGTTGTGTCACACACCACACACACTGGTGTGAATGAAATTTATCAATACTTGTTAATTTCTGCATTGTATTTGAGATTTCACATGATGTGAAAGGCACTTCTGGAAAACCAGTGGAATATAGTGCATGTCTGGTGCTCATTTCTGTGTTATTTGATTCCGGGGGGGGGGGGGGGAGCACAATTTAACACAGAAAATCTTGGGAGTAAAGTGATATAATTTGGAGGGTGGTAAGCTAGCACACAGTTATTTCCTGCTTGTTTTCATTGGGGGGGGGGGGAGGTCACAGGGAATAGAAGCACACATGTACACAAAGGAAAAGGGAGTAGCAATGTTGTCCAATGACATTTGCTGTTGTGTCATGCCACACATGCTGGTGTGAATGAAATCCAGTGTGACATGCTTTTAAACTATGAAAAAGCTGCTGTTCCATAAAACCACAGGTACTGCAGTGTGAGAGGAATATAAGAAAACGGGACAGAAGCACTGGTAATTATAACTGGGAAAACTAACCCAATTTTCCCCATAGCTGAATGCACACTAAGGGTAACTCAGAGCGGACCTACTGAAATTAATGAACATAAATTAGGTCCATTAATTCTAATAGGTATACTCTGTGTAAAACATAGTTGCCCACAATCCTAGCCTTAATAATTCTCCATGAAGTCATATCTGTACACTCAGCTGTCCCTGAGCCCCCTCCCACAATCCCTTGCACCTGCTGCTCCCTGACAGAGTCCCATGGCGCACGTGCAGTGGAGAGTGTTCCTTTTAGCACTCTGATTCCAGCCCGAGGCTCTGGAAAAGGAATGCATCCAAGATGCCCAAATGACAGCGCCTCCGGCAAAAGACACTTTAGCGCTCAGCAGCAGCAAAGTAAAAAGGGAAACAAACTTGCAGGGCATGGGTGACAGCGGGAGATGAATTCCATCGCAGGATCAAATCATTCTGCTTCTGACAGTTAAAGAGGTGGAAGGAACTAACACAGGTTCCTCTTAAGTCAGGCTTGTTCATCTAGGACAGGGTGGGAAACATTCGGCCATCCAAAGGTTGCTGAAGTAGAATGCTGTTGGACTACAGTTCCCATTATCCATGACCACTGGCAAATTGGTAAATAAGAGAGCAGGCAGGCAGCTGGGGAGCTGGCTGAGGTTGGTGGGGCAGTGCCCCATTGCCTCTAATGCGACAGCCTCTACTCATAAGAAGAGCCTTGTTCAATCAGCCCAAAGGCCCACCTAGCCCAGATCCTGGTCTCACAGTGGCCAACCAGACGCCCCAAGGGGAGGTTAGCAAGGAGGACCAGAGAATAACAGAACTTATCCAATTTGTGATCCCCACTTCCATTTCCACTTCTTCCCCTCTCTT